GTATTTCCAGTATTATAACCAGCAGGTGGAGTCAAAGAACAGTTTAAAGATAGTTACCAATTTTACTAGTTTGTGCATGGAAAGTGAGGGATCAATTTTAGGCCTTAGTCATATCTTTACTGAAAAACAAATTTTACTGGAAAATGGTTGAACTAAAAAACTTGTGTTAAGAATTAACATTCTTGCTTATTAAATCCAATCTTGATAGATGATACACATCTATCCACTAACCAGTACAAAAGTACATGCCACTCACAAAAAAACCCCTTATTGTGAATGGCCTTTTCTTACTGGTAATTTTAACTCTCAACCTCCCACATGCCACAGCCTTAATATTTCCCAGCATCCTTCCCTCACCTAACTGTAGATATACATCCAATGCTCTTTCCTCACCTGACTTTTGATATATAACATGAAATATATGTATGTCTTTAAGGACATTAAATTCTATTTTGTTGAACAGGTTTTCTCATACTTGGTTGCTATTCAGATAGCAATTTTGTTGCTTCCTTGTATATTTAAACAATACAGATAGTCCTTGGTTTACAATCACAATTGGGTGCAAAATTTTGGCTAAGTTGGAACAGTTATTACATGGATCATCATGTGACCTGACAATTTTACAATGGTTGTTAAGGGAACAATTTGGTTGATAAGTGAATCCAGTATATTCCATGGACTTTTTTTTTTTTTTTGCTGTTTTATTTATTTATTTATTTCTAAAATTTATATGCCACCCAATCCCAAGGGACTCAGGGCGGCATACAAAATTAAAACAATAATCTAACAATAAAACAATAAAATAAATACATTCACACAGCGTGTCCGATCATATCCCGCCCCCCCCCGGGGACATCAGCCCCAGGCCTGCCGGAACAGGAGAGTTTTAATGGCTTTCTTAAAGGCTGGCAGGGTGGGAGTAGTTCGAACCTCGGGGGGAAGTTGATTCCACCAGGTCGGAGCCACCACAGAAAAGGCCCTTCCCCGAGGGCCCGCCAGCCGACACTGTCTGGCCGACGGGACCTGAAGGAGGCCCAATCTATGGGACCTCACCGGTCTCTGGGAACTGTGCGGCAGTATGCGATCCTGTAAGTAATCTGCTCTGTAGAGGTTTTGGACAACATTACCTACCATTATCATTACTACCAAAGCTAATGTAAGTTATAATCAAAGCATAAAAGGGGAATCTGCTGCCTTTTCCTATTAAATTCTTAACCTCAGTGTGCTCATTTTTCATTCCAGTGTGACAATGCCTCTGGAAACATCTTTCTTCTTTTTCTAATTCCTCCATGAATTGACCTCCTTATCAGCAGCCTATTTTCAGTTTCTATCTAGAGTATATAATTTTTCAATTTTTAATTTGTACGCATTTGTTTATACTATTTTTCATTTTTTAACTAGCCCTACTGAAACAAACTACAAAGCATATCATATTAGTAAACAATTACACTTGTAATGTAATATTCACACTTGTAGAAATGGGCAGCAATCTGAGGATCCTTTTAATATTCCTGTAAATTCCAGTGAGACTATGGATTACAGCTACTGCATAAACAACTGTATTCTATTTATTGTGCCCAGGGAACAACAGACAAGATGTCATTCCTTTATCACAGGCTCTAATCATTTAACTGTTAAAGAAAAGTCAATCCATTTAGAAAACCACATAATTTCTCAATACTCTGTTTAAAGAAACTGTAAGGAAGATGGTGTTTCTATGAATACTCAATAGTATTATTGTACTATATGGAGCTCTTCATAAATAGGCAAAAATTGTTTTGGTATTTTCTTTTAATATACAATTTCCAAACTACTCTTGATGTTACTTGTAAATTGATGACTTTTCCTGACAATATACATTGGCAATGCTTACTATTATTCACTCTTTATAAAGTTCCTAACTTTTTTGAATACAGTAATCCTTTCATCAGTATATTATAAAATACTGTGTTGCCTAGTTTTGTCTATTTTATAAATAAACAAAACTAACAAAATACATGTCTTCCTTTTTAAAAAGGTAATTTTGAAAAATCTATTTTTCATTTTTGAAAAATCTCATTCAATGGGCTAAAACTGCTTTACTGGGAAACAGATCCAATGTGCAATAACGGTCTCATGACTTTCATATAATTATATTTAAGAGGAACTGAAGAGGCTTGCTAAGCATTTGCTTTTGCCATATATGATCCACATCTAGGGAAGAGCAAGGAAACATCGATATTGGGTATATGAATACGGAATGAGGAGATTTACATTTTTCTCTAATTTCTCAAGATTGCCAAAATCAGCAAGAGCACATATAAAACTTAAAGGTCTAAAATTTTAATATAAATTATGATGTGGTAGAATTTTATTTAGTGAAGTCTAGCAGTTGCCACTTAGTACTGACTACTTTCTCATAGTGTCCAAGAAAAAAGATCACAGAAAATAATTTGATTATTTCCAATTATCAGCATCACTGGAAGAAATGTGCTACTATTTGAAAGCCACAATATTTATGAAGTATTGTATGATACTTCTTTCAAAATAGGAACAGACAGAAAGTAGTACAATCAAAGGAACTATAAGCTCCGAGATTAGAAGAAAATGAAATGCAAACAGTACAAACATAATAATTGTGTTACTGGCAATAAGTGAGTATCATTGGTACTAACAATTTGTTAAGATTTTAAAGCTGCCACAACAGTTTTTGTTACAACAAATCAAACAGTTACAGTCTCAAACTTAGTTCTCCATTAAAGTTGCACTACCTAGAATTTCTCTGCTGTAGGAAAAGAGAATAAACTGTTTTTAACAGGATTACTTTGTCAACTTTATGAATTAAAATGATCTCAACTGTAAATAAAGCTTAAGTGAAACATCAGCCTTCCAAACATGGGATTTAAGTTCCAATCAGATGTACTTGAGAAGTATTCTAAGTGCTCCTAAAAACAACAAAACACTTGTCTGATTAACCAAGACAACTGAACTAAGTGTCAAGCTGCTTAGTTTGATTAACATAAGTAAAAACATAAGTAGAACATGTTTATAGAAAACCTTATATGTTTAGGAAAACTTTGTAGAAAATGTATCATAACTAATGTAGCGGAGGGAAACCACAACAAAGATGTATTTTGTAAGCCACACAAACAAATGGCTTTTTCACTCTAATTCCAAACAGTAAAGAAAATACTTTTTCAGACTCTTCACCACTTACTGGCACACAGCAGTTCAAAACTTTGAAGTCTAGAAAATATAAACTTGACCAAATAGAGTCAAGCAATTCTGACACCACGCTCCTTATATTCAAATTGCAAAGCAAGAGTTTATTACTCTGGGAAGATTCCTTCTGGTCTGCTGCCCACATCCATCTGGACTATATAAACCATTAACCATTTTATTCTCTGGAAATTCTATTTTTATCATATTTAACAACTGAAGCTCTAAATGCAATGATTAAATACTAGTGTTAAGATCTCAGAAGTTCTACGCTTCTTAAAAAATAGGTTGTAAGCATACTGGATTATTTGTTCATTATTTGCATCTCTATTGTATCAGCTGATAGATTAGGAAGTATTTTCTACACAGTCATTTCTGTTATTACTATCACATTTTTGAAGACTAGTTTCTAATCTATCTTTCATGGCTCATGTTTCAGAAGAACCTAATCATATACATGACATTCTGCAATCATACTGCAGCTAAGCAACAATCATGTTGGAAAAGAGCCATGGACTTAATCCGTGGAGTTGCAACAATGGAAAAGTAACTCCCACATATGTTAACAGTATGCTTAAATGCACCTATACAGTTTTTATTTTGAGTGAAAGTCTGAAGAAAAGCTTATATTTACCTTCAATAATCTGAATAGCTTTCCTCCCAGCTCTAGAACACTGATAAAATTTGTAACTATAAAAAGGACTCCAGATATATGCATGCCATATGACCTCTTTAGTTTGGGAAAAATCTGCCTGCCATTGTAATGCTTCACATGCAACAGACAGATTCAATGGAGAGTCCATTTCTAGGTATCCTTCTCCCCAAACATTATTGGTAAACTTTCTGGAATAAATCTTTTCTTCTAAGAAGAAAATGAGGGGAAAATCCATTTTAGAAATCTGTTCATATACTTTGGGACAGGGTACTGTTTTATTTTATAGCAGAAGAATGGTGGAAGAGAAACTGGAGAAAGATAATCACCACTTACATAAGTATATTGCCACTGACTTCAAACTGGGCACTGTTGACATATTCCATAATTAGTTAATTCTATTTAAATGTTAAGTTTCTTATCTTTTAATTGGTAATACAAAAAGCCACCCACATAATTTGACTTCCAAGTTTTCAACTTTAATTATCCCAGCGTAATTATCAGTCAAGTTATTAAAAGATTTTGAATAGAAACCAATATGCACATATTGTGACTGCAAACAACAAAGTTATATGAAAAAACCTTTACACATTTATAGTGCAATAAAACCATGATTTTAAATAAATACATAAGCAGCAGCCAAATTTATCAGAATTTTCTCCTTACTATAGTGGAAAACCATTTACTTGTCTGTCAGAATGTTTTACAGGACTTGATTTTTTGAGATTGAGTACTCAAGGATCCTGGTCAGGATCTGCCACCTTTACAGATTGATTACGTGCCTTACAATACTGGGCTTCCTTTTCCTCCCACAATTACAGTATATCGGTGTAAAGGAACATTTTTAGAAAAGAATGGTAAATATTTCCCTAATTTTAATAGATGTTTGCCTACTTAAACGAAATGTGAAGACAGTGTGAAATAATTTCTAGTCAGATTTGTTATCAAATGAACTTGCTTCTTTTACATTTACATTCATTTACATTGTTTAACACCCTGCACAATATTTAAACTAATTTCTTCCCAATTGCAGTGTTAATATTCTGCAGCATGAAGTGCTAAAGAATCTAAATTACCTGAGGAAAAAGAAGCAAGGTCATAGTATCTGGTATTCAGTTTGTTTGGCCAATTATAACAACAAAACACTAACCTGGTTGATCACTCTCTGTTCCGACTCTTGCAGGACTTGGTGCCATTGGCAGTGGTCGAACCGGACGAGGTTTTGGAGTAGGGGGAGAAATTTTTTTCCTTCCAATATATTCTACGTAAGTTCCTGGAAAGTCTCCCCTCTCCCCAGTCATTTCATTATAGCCATTCAACCAACCAATTTCCTCCGGTTTTCCTTCTTCTCCATCACTGAATCCAAGAGCAACTAAAGTACCTTTATTTACAGTTAAAATATCTCCCAAATGTAGGTCAATGTCTTCTTCTCGTTCTTTTTTGTAATCATATAAAGCTTTGTATTGGTATCCTTCTGCACTCATTTTGGCAATTTTTTTAGCAGTTATTCTAATGAACAGCAAGCCAGTGCTATTTGGATTTATTGTATATACAATTAAAGGAGTTCTAAACACAGCAATACATATGAATTATGACAACTGTAACTCAAATATGAAAAAGGCACCACAACCCGTGGTTGTGCAGGGATGTTATTGTTGTTTCTTTGTATTTAGACCAGGAGAAATTGTGATTTAGATTCCCGGCTAATTCTTTTTCGGATCTGTTTGGCACTTAATGGCAGAGTTTTTCAAGGTGGGATGAATGTTACTTTTTGCTGAACTTCCTTCTGATGGCTTTGCCATAATGTTTACTTTTCTTAAAACCTTTGTTGTAGAATTCTGCACATACTTTACCTATGAAGAAAAAAACATTGAGACACAAAATCAGTGCAATTATTCAAGCATCAATGATGGTCATCCAAATGCTCATACACTACAAATCTCAATATTTTTGATTTATGAATATGCAGGATAATACTGATGGGAGTTAAGAGTTGGAGAATAACAATACTTGGATGGCCACAGATTGGCCATCTTCATGGTAACTTTTTCACAAATAGAACATTGTTGTAGATAAAAACCAAAAGAAAAGATAAAATTCTGATTTTTTTTTAAGTTTGCATACTTAACTCCAGTTAGGTCCAAAAAAGATTCTTTTGATTGCAAATCAGATAGGATAGAAAGTCTCTCTGCTATTCTGAACATTAATATGTGTCTGCTGACATTTCCCTGATGTCAAGCTATTTTAAATGTTTTTAATAAATGATCTGCTGGTGAGTGCTGTGTTGTGAAGCTTCCACCAGCTTTCAAGACAGGCTTTTGCCAAAAATTGATAGAAAACCATGTGTGATGTCACAGAATAATAGCTATGGTTTCTACAATAATGGACTTCCAATGCCCTCCTTGTACTAGACTCTGAGCTTCCAGACTGAGACTATAGAGCCAACTCTGTATTCAAAGATGAACTGCACAACATATATTCTTCAAACCCAAAGGAATACCATATATAATAGATAATTGAGTAGTCAATGTGCACAAAGCAAACATCCTAAAACATAATCTATCTTTTCCAAAAAGGCATTGGGATCCATGTGGATCCTAGAGCAGAGTTCCCCAATCTTTCCGGTTTTGCAGACCAGCCTGGGGGGGGGGATAGTTCCATGTGAGCGCCAGGCAAGCATGCATGCAGCTCATTCGTGTGAGCACCCGCACTTGCTCCCTGCTTGTGTAAGTGGGGATACAAGTGCATGCGCATTTGCCTGCCACTTCCATGGCCCGCGGTTCCAAAGGGCTCAAGGTCCAGTAATGGGCCACAGCCTAGGCATTGGGGAACCCGTCCTAGAGGGATTCTTAGAAACTAAAATGGTGAATGGCTGCAGACCAATACTTCCCATATTTGCCCAGTTACCAAGAAAGCTTCGTTAATAGAGACCAAACAAATAGAAAAGATGAAACAGCGAATAGCTATTTAAGTTTATGTCTTCAAGTAACACTGTCTTCTGTAACTAGATATATCATCATGTCATCCCTTTTTTAAGAATGCCAGTAATGTGCTCTCAAAATTGCACATGTCCATCAATCCCCCCCCCCCCAGTGACAGGTTTGGGGAGTCTCGTCTATTGCATATCAGCACCCTACAGATCCAACTCTCTGGTGCAATATCTATTCTTGATTTAAGACAAATTTCCAAGTTATTCTATATTCTGTGAGTAAAATGAACAAAATATAATTGAGAAGTCACATTAATCTGAGCATTGAAGATTGTCTTTTAATGGCCAAGCCATTATTTTATCTATTTAATGCAATTCTCTTCTCAAGCTACAGAACTTCTGGTCTGCCCCTTCATGCAATATATAACAGCAGCATAATCCCATGGCTAATCCACAAACCACTGACCATCTGATTTTACACACTGCAGCTAAATTATAAACCTGCAGTTTTTTCTTCCTAATTTTCCCACAAGCTAACATGTTCCTTGGGCAGTGTAAGAAGTTGAGCTGTTGTAGTGTATTCCCAAAGGTATCAACTCTGGATCATAGGCTGTCCACTTATTTTCCAACATGAAAACCCCAATCTTCCCCAAGATTATTCAATAGTGGCTACATATTATCTGCAGCCATGATTTAAATAATCATATTTCATCACCTTACATATTGGGAAAAAAGTACTGTAGTTCTCACTTACCCTCAATCCAATATTTTTTCCAGCAGTTTCAAGCTATATAAAATCTGTAACATTTTGCTGACTATTAGTAGTAAGGTCAGGTGATTTATTGTATTTATGGTAGGAAATGTATTTTGCACAAATTTGGAGCTATTTGTGCAATATTTCTCTCCTAAAATGTGTTCTCTCACTTTGGTCTTATTTATGTTTTCATCTATCACCTACCCCTTACCCCACCCATTCACTTGTTGAAATCAACCATACTTTGGACTTCCATAGAAAAGAGGAGCCCAGACCACACTACCCTTCTATCTGGAAAAAGAAAGCATACTTGGGCAACAGCTGCAGCACACTCTTCAATATCCTAAAATAAAATAGTTCAGAATAATGAGAAATGTATTGAGTTTTGGAAAATTATTTGCCAGATTTCTGTATCTGTGTGCATGTGTCTCTGTGTGCATGTACACATGCAATCCTCACATAATGATTAGTCACTTAATAATCATTCAAAGTTATGACAGATCTTCCTAAAGCTACTGATGACCCAGTCCCAGAGTTCTGATGGCACATACTGCCCCCCTTGTGGTAATGTGACCACATTTTGGACACTTGGCTCACATTTAGGTTGTTTGCAGTGTCCACGCTCATGTGACTGATACATACTGATACATACTGTCCAGTGCCTTGGATGCTCAAATTTGGTGAGGACGATTAGGCCTCTATCCTTTTTTTTGGTATAACTTTTGTGTATGGGGGAAGAGGGAGAACACCACCTATCAGGCTCTCCCGTTTAGCAGGTCCACCCAGGCCTGGCAGTTTGCTAGTTTCCCATCCAGAGGAACTATTGAAATGCAACCAAATAGAATGAGTACAAATATTTACTTCAGCTGCCTGTAGCCTTGTTCTCTCTCCTCTTTGTTCTCTCTCCTCTTTTACCTATGTCTGCATTTACATTTCTGATTTTTTTAAAAAAAACAACAACAACCGATACAGTTCTTAACCATTTTGAAGCCAGCATGGAGCCCTAGCTAGAATTCTAACGGTAATTTTTCAGTACTGGAGTTCTGGATATGCTTTTACTCACTTCAACTCCCTTTGGGTAATTCAGCTTCCCAGAACAAATGCAAAACTATCTCCCTCGACAATTTAGTTTTGGGGGTTTTTTGCACCCTATCTGTTAAAAATATGGAATAAAGTACAAAAAATGAAAATATGTTTGGCACTGCTCGGTTAACTTTTAATTTTTGTTAAGTACATAATGGTGTACCTTATTCTCAATTGTTTCTTCATTTTTTTATACCTTTAAATTTAAATATAAATTTCAAAATTATAAAACAATGCCAGCTTCACCTGATAGATATGTTTTCTACAGGATGATGAAATGTAGACAAGAAAAATGAAATCAGGGAAGGAAACCAATCAGTTTATAATATTAGATACATTTGCAATTTGGGCAATGGATGACTACAGGGGAAGGGTTAAGGACTGACAATTAAGACAACATATTTTATGATGGTGTTATTTTGCACTGACACAAGAGGCGCAAGCAGCAGTTTATATCAACAGGGACAAAATGGTCCCTACTTAAGTCTTCTTCAAAGAGTCACGAAAAAAATGTTTTTCACCTAAACCATGAAACTGTCAAGGCCAACAATTCTCTATATGCAGGCAGCCTCTTCCCCACAGAATTGGGTAATGCCAAACAACAAACATAACTATATCATAATTACTCTTAAGCAATACAATTACAGTAATTCATATCTTTATTGGTCACCTGTGTTTGAACATCAAACTGACAAAGTCAACATTTCTCCTTTTGCTTATATATACAAGAAAAATACATGGGGAGATCTTTTGCATTGAATCATACTTAATAGCTTTCATATTTTTATCACACTCTAACAATGAAAATATCCATATATTTTCTTGTCAAATTTCACTCCTATGGCTAGAGCCTTTATCTTCTTTTCTGTGATAATCTTTTCCACAGAGCTGCAGTTAAAAGTGAGAAAAACCCATAGAACTACAGAGTTACCTTTTTTTTGTTTTCTAGATGAGAATAACATTTTTAACATTTGGCATCTGTGCAAATATGTCTTGTTGCTCTGAGATGAATCTTTTGAGAAGCAGCATGGTTTCCATACAACTGTTTCTCCTTGGATGAAGCCATATTTCTCCCTATCTTCTTTTTTATTTTCATTTGCCATATATCCATCCACCTATATGCAGTCATATACACACCTATGTACACTCATTCCCACCTATAAAGTAGTAGTTATTTGAAGAAATTTTGGGCGAATCTTAAAAACCCACTGATCTAATTATGGAATATTGAAAAAAGTTAGAGACCAAATGTAAGTTGAAAAAAATATATACATCAATACAAATATTGTATTATATTACTTCACTTGTACTGTAGCAATCAACAATGAAAGTTCAAATAAAAAACCCGTTACATTGGAGAAAAAAATAAACCAGAAATAAAGGAAGTTCTAGAAGCTTTTTTCTCATACAAATAATGTAACCAGACAAATAGGAAAATTTCAACAGCATATCATAGGCAAACAAAACTTAAAAGCAAAACAAAATTATTTTTAATGGAGAAAAAAATCTATGACCATTTCATTCATAGTGTTATGTATGGTTTGCAGATTCCAACCCTGCTTTTGACACTTTCATTGAGACACACAAAACTTAATAATTAGCTGTTTATCACTAATTCGTAAGCAACAACAATGGTAAAGACAGAACAGTCACACCAAAGAACAAACTCTGGAGATACATTTCTGTAAGGCAGCATTATTAATGCTCAATGGAAATGTTTCTATAGTTTCAAGGACCTGCTTTGTGTCCCAGCAGGTGGCAGCACATGGCTGATTTTACCTGGCTTAAAAGCTAAGCAGGGTCAGTCCTAGGATGGGGGACCTCCAGGGAATGCTACATTATAGTAGTAGACAAAGCACATACACATACACAAACACGCAGAGACTCTAAAAGGCTGGAACAGCAAAACCCTCTGTCTTGTTATGAAGATGTCTAACTGGTTGCATCCATCAAGCTCGACTGAAGGTAGATGTTATTTTTATGAATCTGCTTTATCAGTTATACTAAAAGGGAAAATTAACTTTAAATTATAATCCAAGGTCAAACATAATAGCTTTTAATTTTCATTATCTTCACCTGCAACTTCT